GCTGAATGCAGACCTAAGCATAAAAGCGGATCTTGCCTGTGTCCTTCCTACAGACATGCCAGTGATTACCACACGGTTCCACTGCTCCCCCAAGGGCACGGCACAGCCACCGGGACAGGTGGATAGGGACACACACATTCTGGCGCTCACAAACTTCAAACCTGATTGCTATGGAGGGAGCTAACGTAAGGGGGAGGAGCTTGAGGATTTTGTAATCATTCATTATAATTTATTTAGCCAATAGGAGCACAGCACATGGGCGAAGGTATGGGAGTCAATGAGAGGAAGATTCAGACATGCTCAGTGGGATCCAGCTAATTGGAAAAAGGAAACTAGCTTCCAAAACTATTACATAAAGTTTCACATTTGTAACAAACATTACAATAATACAGTATTTTGGATTCATTTTTGCAAAGTTTTTATGTTTCTGGCTGCATTTAATAATATTGGAGGGCTGGTATGATGGTGGATAATATAGCCTAAACGCCAGTGAACTTTATTGTATGCTGTTTTTTAGTTTGCACAATCCTGTACAGTACATGCTGATATACTGTAGGCTTAATTAAGATGAAGACGCTTCCCTACCTCCTCTTGTTTTGATAGCAGTTCCAGGCACAGATGGAGAGCAGCACAGGTTTCACTGGAGAGCTCACTGGTCTCTTTGGCTTTCAGCAACAGAGGAGCAGCCAATTCTTTCAAATAAAAAAAAAAAAAAGAAAAAACAATTTTCAGTGCAGCTGTATAAATTTGGCTGCAAGTAGTGGTTATTTCTGATTAATCTGTGCGCTATTTTTATGACTCATCAATTAATCATGTAGTCAACATAATGTCAGAAAACAATCCATCCCACAAAGATTTGCAATGTACCTAGAAATAAAAACTGAAAATAAATATAATATATAACTATAAAAACTGAAAATTCTCCCATTTGAGAAGCAGAAAACAGAACAAAAATGTAATTTTGCCATGTATTGGTGTCAATCATTTTGGCTTGTGACACTTTATATCTGAGTAATGCCTACTCCTGACTTCTCATTACAGGTTGTGCATGTCTATAAACGATGTTCAGCTTTCATTTGATTAAAAAAAAAAAAAACTTTGTGCAGCTGAAATGGTCTCCCCCCCTTCATTTTCCATTTCAATCAACCCCACAGAATTATCTTTCCACCACTTGAGGGTGAGTTAGGTCTGTCAGAATTGTTGGCAATACATTTTTCTGTCCATTGACTGAACAATTAATTTGCACTAGTATAAAAACAGGCAAAAGATCAAAAAAATATAAAAAAAACGACACTGGATTAACTACATGGGCACATTCCACGACTCCTACCACAATTCTCCTCATTCTTCACCATCGATATAAATATTGACACTTCACTCTCCAATTTCTGCTGGATAGCGTTGGCTGCCTGCAGGAGCACAGGACAAGAGAGACACTTGCACAATTGCATCCCTCTATTTCCTCCTCCACTTCTTCCCTCCTTGTCACCTAATAATACTAAAAAAAAGCCTGAACTTAATTTTACCTGAAGGGCGTGTGACAGATTCCTCACTGTGGCGCCACCATCACCATCTGCATCATCGGTGGTGTCTTCGTGGGTGTGGTGGCGAGTGCTATAGGATGAATGCGCCTCAAAAGCATCCAGCCATCTCTAAGTGGACAAGTATCGGTTACATTTACAATGTTGTCCAGCCTTGCAGCTTAGACAAATCAGTCAGTAGGTGGGGCTATAGCAACAGCATAGAAGGTGAATCTCATCTCACTTTTCTTGTTGCCATTGAATCTGTCTTTGAGGGGACCTTAAAATAATGTACAGTGTCATCAAAGCACCTGAGCATGAAGAAGCAATGATCCCATGGTTTGACCTAGAATGACAAAATGAAATTACCCAGAGTCATGCTTGCTGCACTAGATGTCAAACATCATCATGTCATAAGGACAATGTGATCACAACTGAAACCTTGTGTCGTCATGAAGGTTATTTACAACAAGCCTGTAACCTCTACTACCTACCATGCAGTAGGCTTGAGATAGGGACTTGGAGCCCTGTTTTCTGACACCAGCCAGTGCATCAGCCCTAGAAAAAAAAACAAAAAAAAAAACACAAAAGATGACAGAACACACAAAGGCATTTTGACATGGCATCAGACACACACACACACACGCACGCATGCGCACGCGCACGCGCACACGCACACACACGCTTTTATATTTCAGCCACTGCAAGTAACAAGGCATTGTCTGGTTAAATTAACTACAAGGAGTTTCTAACTGGTTATGAAGCAGTCTCAATTTAATACTGATGTCTCTATATGAACTACAGTACATAAACAAACAACCCCATCAGCAAAAAGATTGCTTATTTCCAGATAATTATTCTTAATTTAATTTTCAATTCCCCTTGAAATCAATGCAAAGAGGCGGCAGAAACTCTACCGCTTTTGTCTACATGGGCGGCCAGATCAACAAAAAATGTAATTTGTGTAAATGTAATGTATTTTTTTTTTTTTTTACATGTGAATCAAAAGTGGAGTACTAAGACTTGCTAGAAGTATGGCATTTAAAAAATACAATATACGTGTTCATAATCTTTAAAAAAAAAGCATACATATAAAGTTATCTCACTGTCTGTGGTACCAGGAGAGAGTTCCATCTTCAATTACCACCCAGTGGGATCGCCATCCAAGAAAGCGTGAACTCTTTCAGAGACGCATGAATTCAACAACAGATTATAATTCACAGAGAACACTAAGACATGAAATACAAAACAATGAATAATAAGGAAGGCTCTGAAGACGTTTTTGTCTATAATAATGATGATATTGTGGGCTGAGTAACAGAAAAAAAATAAAATAAAGTATGTTCGTGTAGGAGTGTGAACAAAAACATTGCCTGACATATTAAGTGTAAACAAGAATACACTTCAACATCTGGGTACCTTCCAAAGAGGGCCTTCAATCTTCTGCACCCCACTGCTCACATCCTTTGTTGGAAAAAATAACAATCCTCAGACTTGTGTACAGTCAGAGCCTGATTGACAGTGCTGAAGAATTTCTGGTGAGATGAGAAATACTAACCTCGGTTTTGTATTACAGTAAAAACCTGCACGGTTTCAGAGGTAAATTTATATTTTTTTAATTTACTTAACAGCTAAGTGCTTAGCCTTTTTTATTTCCACCATGACTATGCAAAGCTCTGCACTGAAGCTGTGCCAGGCAAATCAGACATCCAAGCAAGAGCAAGGACTGCTGACTTGCAAAGCTTTTTCTCCACAGTCACCAGACCTGAAGTGAAAATGTATAGAAATATATGAAAAGAAGAAGTGCACAAAGATAAATGTGGGCACAGATTTTTGGGCCAGGTGCAGGATAGCAAACTCCACTTTTTCCTGAAAGAGAAAATGCAAACATCTAATCTGTGATTAAGGTGCTAAACACGCCATGTGTTGACTTTATGTACAAAAAAAGTTTAGTTATTTGCTCAAGCAGTGCCAGAAATTGGAATGTTTAATCTCCCGGGAAACAGGAATGAGCTCAGTAAATTTCACAGAAATCTGTTCATTAGATTTGGATTTTTCCTGGCTAGATTCTGCTTTAATTGTGCTGCTCGGTAAGGCTAGAAGATCACTACAATAATTAGAAATCATGCTTTGTGGGCCATGACTCAAATACCAAATTTAATAGATGTGTAGAGCTGATAGCTTAAGTAGGACTTAGCATGCACTAATTTTTTTACATTACATTCAAAGAGGTGGAAAAATTTGCTACTGAACATTCGTGTCTGTACCTGAACCATGTTTTTCTTCTGGAAAAAGGAAAACCTCATATGATTAATGGGGTGATTACTTATACTTAAACTACTTATCTGTCCTTACCTTGTATTGAAAGGCTGCTAGAATCGGTCTCAGTTCATCACTCTGTACCAGGTCTAATGCTGTCTGGTCTGCAACACAATCAGCCATGCAATAAAATATAAGCATTTACAAAAACATGTATTCTTTGAAAATAAATTGTGATGGACCATTGTAAGTATTATTGTACTGATAACACATTGGTCATAATAACAAGAGGTGATGTTCAAATATAAGATATATACCATTGTTGTTTTTAATACTGGGGCTTGCTCCAGACTTGAGCAGCTTTAAAATGCACTGCTTCTGCCCTCTGTAGGCTGCACAGTGTAAGGGCGTATTCCCCACCGAGTCCCTGCAGTGAATATCTGGAGCTCCTTTTCCACTGAGCTGAAGATCAGAAGACAGTTGAACGACAGACGGAAGCAGAAGACGCTGACATTTACCTCTAACTGTAATGGAAACGTATCTGTACCTAAATATCTAAAGAGAGCCGGTAACAGCATACACAGAAAACGGGGCAATTATAATTCTGATTTGGAAGCGACCACGGTCTTAAACTAAACTAACTACCACCTCCCGACAGGTCAGATCCTTTGAGAATACATCAAACATGTTGAATTTTTGCGACCAGAATCTGGACAAATATAAATGTAAACGTGCATTTTAACAATCTCAGTAGCATGAAAGGTACAGATGCTGCCGAAGTTTTCAGAAAGGTCAGACGCTAACCAGCTTAGACACTGTGGAGATGTCGCCCTCTCTAGCTGCCTCCAGAAGCTTCTCCTCCCGCCGTCTTGTCTCTCTTCTCTCTGCAGCTGCACAAACCAAACACGATGTGAGAACAAGGGCTACTGATCTACAGTAATGAGAAGGAAAAAAAACACTCCCCATCCTTTCATACCCTCCAGCATTGTAATGATTTCATCATCCTCTGTCACATCTTTAGGGATCTGAGCTGTTCCATTGATTATGTTGGAACAGGCATCATACCGCAGCAGCAACAGAACAATCTCCTTAAGGGTCCAAAGTAAAGAAAAGAGAAAAATCTGACCATCACTTGTCATCAATCAAAAGCTTCAATGGGGGGAAAGTCTGTAATAGTGATTCTGACTGACATTTTGGTTGGGTGAGACGAAGGTGAATCACAGGTTACGATGCAAACAGGACCTATTATTATGATACAGAGGCTGACGGTGAATTTCATTCTTTAATGTTTTACCTTTCCTCCAGTGTAGGCTGCTTTGTGTAGAGGCGTGTCACCCATGTCATTCTGCACATTTGCATCAGCACCTGTCTGCAAATGTGTTTCATTAAGTTAATCTCACTAGCTGCAAACCCTATATGTAATATATGCACATAATATACAGAGTAATATCAGCTCTTACCTTGAGTAACTCCTCCACAACATCCCTGTGTCCAAAGTAACAGGCCAGGTGGAGGGGTGTCCATCCTGAACTGCCTTTAGACCTAGCTACAGTGACAGAAAGCAACATTAACACTCACCTGTGGTAGCTACCTGAAGTCGTGCTAACGGGCTACAAATAACATTATTTTCATTTACATCTGCAGTTGATGTTGAGAGGACCGCCGTGCTCGATCCTCGACTGGAGGAGCCTCTGGATTTGAGAACAACTGCCCTGCTGAGCACAGAGGAGAAGCTCGTCCTCAAGTGTGTCTGCCTCCATCTCCACTCGTCCTGCCTGAGATAACGTTATATGACACTTATTAGACAGAGGCCTGCAACCAGTAAAAGCGAATACGACTTTAAGTGTTTAATAACTCTTATGTTAGCCTTTTGTTTAATTTATTTTAGCTTGAGTGTGGAGGGGAAACAGATATTTTAAAGCTAACAACACAACCTTTCCAAGAGGAGCTAATTGGGGCTAATTTACTCGAACACCAGCTAACTTAACTAACTTAACTTAGGTCAATTAGCTTGTTAGCTAACGTTAGCTAGAATGAGATAACAACTTTAGACTTACGGGTGTGGACTTTCAAACTCTTAATTCACCCAACTTTCGCAGACTTTGGTCTCCTTGAGTTAAAGCTGAGAGACACACAACACACTTCACAGCCGAAATTTGATCATGTCAATCAGCTGACAGCCGTTGGTGTCCATCATGTGACCAAGCAGCTGCTAAATTGGTGCATGCAGAGACAAGGCTTGCTGAATGAGGCTCTGCCACCACAACAAACAAACAAACAAACAAATAAATAATTAGGCTTGGTGAGTAACATATTACATGGAATGGAGACATGAAAGGTAACTGTAATGATGTTACATTAGTAAAAATGCGGATTTGTTAGCAGGATGAATTCATTATCATTATTCAGAAGTTATCTCAGGGCACTTTTTATAGCCTTTACTGAAAAATAATATTTCACAATTTCCCTTTTTTTTGTCTTAAAAGCAGAAAAAGGAACAACATCACAGTACAGTACATGTTCTGCCTTCCAGCTGTGAAATGGTTTTTCAAATCTTGGTTTCTATTATCTTTTCTAAGGTTACATTGTTTTGTTGTGTTATATAATATGTGAATTCATCTTTTTGTAATTTATCTCTTGTCTTTATTTGCATATTTGGTGTTGAGGTAATCCAAAAGTAGCAGGAAATAATGAAGTTGCGTTACTGATTACATTTTTAAAGTAACCCTCCCAACCCTGCAAATAATACACAACAACAAACCAATAGTAATACAAGCTAAGCCCCCCTTTTCATTGGTGGGCTTTTAAGAATCAACATAATGTTCAACTAAAACAACTAAGACAATCATCAAATCCCCACATTTGTCACGTTACCGTTAATATTAACTACCCAAACTGTCTGTTGCAAACAATTGTCACACTTCCTGGTCCAGCTTTGCCCTTGCATTGGGTAATAATAACATCTTTGGTGCATTCCTTTGTTTTCACTTTCAAAAAGTTCCAAAACTGAAAGTGTGGTCTGTGCCCATTATGTATCTTAATTCTAACAAAGTCTCTGTGTGTCTACATGTCAACATTTAGGCTGCACTGGAGAGAATATTACTGTATCATAATCTTATCTTCTCTTTCAGCCCTTGAAATTATTTGAATAGATGTTGGTCTTGAGTTTAGTGTTAATGAACCCTTGACCAAAATACTTAATCTGTTCTTCTTTTGTACACTAGATGGAAGTATTTGCTGCACCAGGTGATGTTCACACAGGTTAGAGCTGCCTTTATTTTCTCCTAAGCTTCTGACAGGCAGATGGTAACAAAGTTTGGGCAAGACTCAAACAGAAACCCGCACACCACAGTCACATTTAACCTTCTACCCTTAACTGTACCCTACTTCTGCTTTAAAGGTCATTCATTCTAGACATTTTGGACTCCACTGTTCTATGTAGAAAACTGTAGCTGCAGAGATTTTTGAGGCATTAAAGGTCAGTTCTCTCTGTGTGGCTTTGAAGTCCCTGCTTACTTCAAGCAATTAGGTCCCCTGAGGTATGAGCATATCTGACGGAGAGGGTGACGGGAGGGTTATTGCTGTAATGAATGTGTCAGGCAGGGAGGATTTCAAAGATGAGTTACTTTGTCACCTGCAAGAAGGAGTGTTTTTGAGTCGCTGTATTGATCAGGAAACTCAATCACAAGCAAGGCTAATACACACTAGAGCTGCATGGGGTTACACATAATAAGGTAAACACCTAACGGAACAGGACTTGAATGCTGAAGCAACTAAATCACATGCTCACACAGTGAATAGTAAGTTTGAATAACAGAAGCATCAACATTTGTCAGCTGTAAAAATGGTCTGTAAATCAACGCTATTTTATGTGCGTTTTCAAGGCGACATGAAACAAACAACAGGGCTCTAAAGAGGCCAACTCAGCTGTGCCTGTATTGCAGATTCATCCTTCAGAATGACTGCAGAAATCTTCATCGCAGAATAACAAGTCTTGCAAGTCACATCAATTATGCCAAACAAAGACAAACCGCTCTACTAAAAATGTAGATCCAACTTTTTCAAAAAGCAATCACTTAGATGAAGACAGAAATGTTTGTCACATGTTTGTCAGTTTGAAGCATCATTATATTCTTACAATAATATACAATAATGATTGATGCTGGGAAAAGAAGAAAAAGCCACTTCACAGCTTTCTTTTCGTTTTCAGCCAGTGTACTTATCTGCTTGTTGGTCATAATTATTGCCATGCTCTACATACAGATGTAATGCTGTTGATAGAAAAGAGTAACACACCTCCATCAACTGGCAACTGCATCCTGGGTTAAAGGTTGCCTCTTCAAGTCATTATGGTTGAGCTAATCATAATTTGCTTCACACTCCAGGGATGTTTGTATTGATCTCATTGCTATTACAGTACTGTTCCTTACACTGGCCCAACACCTATAATATAAAACCTTTTCAGGCAGGTTTGAATGCAGACTTTCTCTCTCTTTGTCCTTCAAAAACAATAGCCTCTACATTTTATTTGTTAAAATTTATCAGTCAGTCACTATCGTCAGTGATACATTTAATTACAGTGGTGCGGAAGTTATGGAAACACAGACGTTAATCAAAGCATATTCATCAAATCAGGTCTGGTGAGGGAAAGAAGCGCGCTGGGCTAGTTCCTGCTAATTAGCATGGCAATTATTGTAAGCTGTCACAGTTCTTAAGCAACGGGGTGGACTGTGTGTGCTCCAGAGCGTAATCCCTTACAAATTACAAGATAATGGAGGCAAAGAGAGGCCACTGCTTCAAAAGGAACCAGAAGATAGAATCCCCAGCAGGGACATTTTAGGGACAGGCAGGGAGAGAGACAGTGACTGAGGGAAAGGTAGAGGAGAGAAGTACAGCATGTATTCCCTTCACATAGAGCAGTCTGAATATGAGAAGCTTATTTGACTGTTTAGTGGTTATGCTAAATTATTGACTATGAAGGAAAACAGATCCTTCTTTAATGTTCTTTTACACATTATGCTTTTGTAGAACGTAATTTGAAGATAATAACCAACAATTTGCTTTTGATTCTATCACATTTCATGATGTACAGCATGAGCTCAATGGAGGGTTCCACTAACAACCACAGATCAATGGTCCGTCTCTCTTCTTTAGTCCAACATGTGCTATGCTTACCTGTGGTGTAAAACACACTATTAAAAGCATATTCTAATTAGGATTCACAAGTTATAATGCTTTTGTTTGTTGCTTTTTTCCCCCTTAATTCTTCTTAAGAATCAAGAAAAGAAATGACAGGCAGCACTTTGCAGGAAAACCCTCTTCTTCAGCATTTCTGATATACGGTATATAATTGTGCTGCCATTATACATTATACTGACCCCATAAATGACCAGACTACATTGGATCTCAGCAAGATGTTCAATGCATTTTTGTACACACGCTCTTAAGAGAAAGATCCACCCAGCAAATCACCTCACTCTGCTCTTTCCTGCAAGCTTAAAAGCCTGTCTTCCCTCGCAAAAAGTGATTTCAAAATGAATAATGCCCACCTGTGGCATTTCTTCCTTCGACCATGGACAACCCATGTTTGTCAAGTCTGCCACCCCCGTCTGACTAATTTGCACATTGAGTCTCGATCAAAATCAAAATGAGAACGCTGATACCAAGCTGTAAATGCAAAGGCCCGTGGATTAGACGCTATCCAGATGATCACATTATCAATGCCCCTACTAAATGGGGCATTGATAGCTAGTTGTGTCCCATCCTTAAACTCTCTGCACAGCCACACAGGTGGACTGCCATTAATGTCTGTGTACTAATAATAATGATACATATGTAAGTTGTCTTGTCCCAAACAGGTGCAACAAAACTAACAGGAGAGTGAGAGAGGTGCCAATTAATGCAGTTTGCATACACACACACACACACACACACACTACCAAGAAGAGCCCTGATCAAGTAGATTAACTGAAAACACCTGTGTGGGTGGACCATGACAGCGTATGGGCTTTTAATGAATCTATAAGAATGATAAAGGTATAACTTCTCCCACCAAAACACCAACACAACAAAACTAATAGGAGGGTCAGACAGAAATCAATCAAGCACAGTCGGTACACACCCACTCAATTCTCAAGTGAAGTCCAATCAGGCAAAATAAGTAAAAAGGACCATGGTTGTACTCGGCCTTTAAAAATCTACTTTATGGTACTGTACTCTGCACCACTTATGGTAAAGTTGTTTTTGGAAAGTAATTAGTTTTTTCTGTCATCTATTTTCTATGTTACAGCCTTTTATATGGAAATGAGCCCAGATGCCACATTTATCACAAAGTTTACAATGCTCAGTAAAGAAACTTTCACTTCAAATATGACTCATCTCCAGACACATGCATTGTTTCTCTAAAATGTTCACAAATGCATTGTCTCTTATTGAATGGACCCTGGTGGATCATCAGGCTGTAGCTATTATTTTCGCAGGGGTAAGATCCTAATGCATTTATATTCATAGGGGGAATATTATTCTAAAATAATTGCTTTAATATGGCTTTGATACTGCAGAATAAATGTGACACTATTTTGGGTCTGTTCACCTTTAGCAAGAAAATTGAAGTAAACCTAATTTTAAAGCAATCTTAATGCATATTTACACAACAATAACTGAAATGTATTCAAAAGGAAGTGGAAGCAGCACATCTTACCAAAGCACCTCAGTGACATAAAAATAAAACGCAGGTGATGTATACAACATGGTGGAAGCAAACATTTAATATGTATATAATTATATTACACAATACTCTGTCCCTTTACAACAGCGACTAATTACGTAATACAATTGCCTTAATTTTGATTTCAGTTATTTAACATTTAATGTTTCCTTTTAATGCTAACATTCTTACAAGAATGATTACCGCACAGTGATGTTTACAATGAGTTGCTCAATACATTTTGATATGAGGGTGGGGTACGGTGATGCATGGATTAACCAGCTTGGTGCTTTTGAAAATGAGATGAAAAATTTAACAAGTCAAAATACTGTCACAACGAGGCACACCCACAGCATTTCAATGAGCTTCTGTGGATCTGGAGCATAAGGTAAATGCCAACACCCTTCATCTCACAAGCGGCTCTGCCAAACAGACTGTGAGGCTGTGAAGCCATCCAACTGTACGAGTTCAGCTCTCTCATTAATGATTAGCATTTATTATGTAAACTGTGACAGCTCTGATGTGATGTGGAGACTGAGTCTACCAGGGGATATTTCTGTTGTGTTAAAATGGCAATTAGCCAAAACTCAGGATACTGATGCAGCGCTGAATGTTCAACAGTTGGAGAATGCTTTTTGCTATTTCGGTGTAAATTTCCAAATGCATTTCATAGCAATATATAAGAAAATACCCCTGTACCATACCATTTGTTTGAATGTCTTTTGAAAGTTCTTCACTCAAACAAGTAGCTATAATACTTGGTTGCGATCAACTCCTGCATTAGAACTGGGTGGAGCCAAGTCAGAGCAAATCTGCACAATGAGATTAGGACTCATTACTAAAGTAATGCCAAAAAAATTTTTTGTGCATACTTTTGTTGCTGAATGTGAAGTATCACTTGTTCTTTTAGGTGAATTGCCAAATACCCAGAGATGGGAACAAGGAAAACATAAAAATTCAAGACTATGCCATTTTGCCATAGCTACAGTTCCATCTGTGAGACAATTTTGGTGTTTCTATTAGATGTACAGCGTTTCTTTTCTTTTTTTTAATACAAATCCAGATCAAAATTCAAATCTGTCAAAGGGCAGTTTGGACTCACACGTCCTTCAGTGAAAAGAGGAATTCGTCAAATCAAGTGCAATCAACTAAAATTATAGTCAGCTCATATATAGTATCAAAAACTGTAAACCCTAACCCCTAACCTGCTATTCAACATGCATTGCAAAAGGTAGACGTCTACTTCTAGTGTTTGCTTGTTTTAGTGCACATTTTCTGTATGTTGCTTTCCCATCATCCATCAGTCAAGCTGAGTAACACTTACAGATGTATAAAGAATGCAGCTCCTGGTTACTTAGTCAACAGTTTAAACTTTATCAGAGATTACAATAAGTATGCAATTGTTGTTAAATAATCAATATGGAGTCTGTTTAGTAGATTTGTTTGCTTATTTTGTATGTTTTTATCCTGTCTTTCCTGACTTGTAGATCTTTGATTTTACTCTCTTTCTGACAAGGACCAAAATTGGCTTTTAGTGTTAGTGTGTTTTTATCCTCTTTATTTGAATGTCAGGACTGGGCATTTGCAGTTTTGTGTTTAGCTTTAGTATTGTGAAGTAAATCCATCTACAAATCAGTATTACTAACTTGTAAACTGCAACATACTGTACTATGAATGATCATAGTCCTTGGAAGGACAACAAACCCTCCACTGGGTTTTAAAGGGAGAATTGAGATGTGCACTGAACATCTTATTGTTTAATTTCAGGTGTGATTACTTCGGATCGGCACACTGTTACAGTATGATAGCATCAGTACTCCAACCCAGCATCCAAACATAAACACTTGAGTACTAGAGTAATGGAGAGCCACAGCAGGGCACTGTATAATCGGCAACACTAGAGCCTCTGTGTACCCTCTGTGGTACTGCTTTGTTTCTGAGTGCCCTCCATTTTCAGATGAGTCATTGCACTTGTATTTCCAAATCCAGCGACAATGCACCTGCCAAATTGATTGCTTTCCTGGCACACTTTCCTTGCATTCTATTTAATATGTATGCAATAGTTCAACATATCTTACACTGGCAAAGCTTAATTATATTTAAATGACTAGGCTGTGGAGATGTTGTTCCTAATAATTCATTGTCCCATTCAGTATGTTATCAAAAACACTTTTAGCATGACCTTTGGAATAATGATAATATTAATGTTGGGTTGAGACACCTGCATGAGCTTTACATTATGTATGACCCCTTTAATTCATTCTTGGGAATAGAATATTTACAATTTGGTAAAGGCACTTCATGATGGTAGACAAAAAAAACATCATTTTTACTGAAAACTGTCTCTGGAGCACAGCTATAGGGCAGCAGTGCTGGTGTAAATCTTGTAAATCGTGCATTAGTTTCCATGACGGCACAACGCTAGTTTCCATGACGTCTCAGTGCCTTTGTTACAAATTTGAATAACTGGCATTTGTGACTAATGGGTATTTCACTATCACTGGTGTTTTTGGCAGGCAGCCAGGAGTTATCTGAACATTGAATTTAGTCTTTAAGGGACAATTTACAAGCAGTTAAGATTCAAGAGACCATTCAAATATGAAAAGTTATTTGCTTTTAGTAAAAGCAGAGCAGTTCATTGTACTGTATATGACGTTGTATGTGATCTTTGGTGCTATCAGTTAATACAGTATGTAAACTAAAAATACAATTTCCTAAACTGCCCTTCAGAATTCAATACCAAAATGTAGAAGTATTCAAATATTTGCTTTGAAAAACCTTTTTTTGTATATTAATCAGCCTTCATGAGGTGCAAACACAAACTCCTGTATTTGATCATTGTACCAAATTGGTCATATGATAAAGCATTCAATCATTCGTCTTTTGTCAAAAGTGACACATTGGCTATGAAAATTGCAGCTTATGATGACACTACCTAATTAATAAGAAGCTGCAAAAGCAATAACGGTCAGATTTCTAAAGAGCAGATTTGGACAGACATTTCACTTTAATTAAGCTTATTGTGAACAACACTGGTAAGGAGTCTGAATGAACCTGCATTAAAACTCCTACGCTTGCCATGTGTCTTTGCCTGCACTGATTCCTGTCTTGCAACTGTGACGTGACTAACTCAGAGAGATGGTGGTGGTTCCATTTGTGAGAAAATAACAGTAATTCAAGCTTGGCTCCTTCAGTCACTTCTGCTGTTCTGTAGTGTTTCTCATTTCTCTTAGACCACAGCTGGGGGACCGACAGGATAGTATCAGAATGCAAATAGATACAGCTTCTTCCACTGTGTGCCAGAGGGAGGTTATATACACACACCCAAGAATTACCTAACAGGTATATGAAATGTACAAATTCCCACATACTGGACTTTGAGGTGCCACAGGCAAGAATGCTGAATATTTAACTACAACTGGTAAAGCTGTTAATCTCACGAGGTGTGTTGATGAGAGCTTCAGTGAGAGACCTCTGGTGTGTGCCTCCCATTAGCTTCTGTTTTGTCCATCATGTCTTTGCTGGTTTGCACAGCTTTGCATGCCATTCAGAGTGAAGGTACTGGATCTTTTGGAGGAACAAGCAGGCAATGTTACACAAGTATGTGATTTATTATAAGGAAAAAATGTCTCTAAACCAATATGTAAATCAAAAAAACCTTAAATATCCAATGTGTCAGCTTTGATAAAACAAAAGAAATATAGTAACAAGTAACAATAGTATATAATTGTTTGTTTGCAGCTGGAAGACAATGCTCTTAATACCTTGTAAAGTGTGGGGTGAGGTAAGGGTCATCACAGTTTGAGTGTGCCATGCATTCAGCATGTCATGCCCTGTATCCTCTACACACTCTCACAGCGTGTTCATTTCAGGCAACAACCAATATTGGTAGGCTGCCTGTGTGGTGGTGAGCTCATACAAGCCTGTTCAGTTGCGTGTGTGTGTGGACTGTATGGCTGTGAATGAAATATGAATTTTGAATTTCAACAGGGAAAAAATATGACTGGAGACTTGAGTTGATTCACAGCATAAAAAGAAAAAAAAGAAATGGACTCTTGGACGTCAACTAAGTGCCAATCTGAGTTTGCATTTCATTATAAAGACAATAATCAAGTTTTCTTTGCTTCGGAAATCTCTTTCCATTAAATGAAGTATGGGATGCTGCTGGAATAACATCTAATTTTTAGTATCTGTAATTACTTTAAGAGGGAGGATACTGCAGTCATCTCTCGTTAATCTCGTATAGTAAAGATAAGCAAACTTGTATTGTGTTTCTGATGTATAAATCTAATAGTGCCATACAAATAAGTAGTTACATGATACATATTATATTATAATAATATAATTAAGTCATAAACTGGCATTACATACAATGCGTGACAACAAAAAATATTGCTTAGAGAAGTAATGTCGGGCTTTACCTTAAAACAAATGCGTAATTCAGGAGGTGTCCAGGCAGCGTTTTGTGAAGAGCGTTGTGCGCTCTCTCGTGGACTTTCTGGGACATTGTGTTCAGTTTCAACAGGAAAGCGACGCTTTTAGAGGCTATATGGGGGGTGTTGGATGCGGTGTCTACTCGCCTGGCACCTGTTGCTGGCTTATTATTTCCAGCGCTGGTCTATTGAGGATTTAACGACAGCACCTTACAGCTCACACCAGGACCATGTCGGAGGAAGAGACTGATTCTAACTCCAGTCGGTACTATTTTGACAATGCTTCAACTAGAGTCCAGAGCAGCTTCGTGTTTTCAGGACCCATATATGTCGTTTTAATGGGGATGATGGTGACTTTGGTTGTTGTGATAGTTTTGGGCAACGCTTTGGTCATTTTGGCCTTTAAAGTGGACAAGAGTTTGAGAAGACAATGCAATTACTACTTCCTGAATTTGGCAATATCAGATTTTCTTGTTGGTAAGTCCAACCTTAGTCTTTTTTTGAGAGACACTATACAGCAACACAATATAGGTAGATGAAGTTTAATGCAAACGATAAATGTGCTGTTTCTTACATAAAGGCTATCTTCTGTCCTATGATATGAGTTTTGAGTCTTTCAAACATTTTGATGCTCCTTTTTGTCACTTTTTGTCATTTGTCACTTTCCTTCCTTCCTTCATTCCTATAAAGTTCAGTAAGGTTAAAATTGAACACTTTACTTTATTTGCTTCATTAGGCAAGAACCATATAAACATTTGATAAATTATTTTAATACACTATAATGTATCTATAAGAGATATTAGGGCATTTTGAAGTTTGTTCGACATATTTCATATTATTACAACTGTTTTACTATATTGTCATTGATTTTCAGTTTGTACAGCATGCCTTTATTTATAAATCATTAAATCATTTAACTACACTATTGTGTGATTTGAACCATTTATTAAACATTTATATACTGATTATAAAAGCTAAATGGGGGACATATTCCTTGGTTACTGATCCCTTTCCAACCTCTTTCTGTAGGGGCATTCTGCATCCCAGTCTACATCCCTTACATTCTCACAGGCAGGTGGACACTGGGCCAACGACTGTGTAAGCTGTGGCTGGTCATGGACTACCTGCTTTGTTCTGCGTCTGTGTTCAACATCGTCCTCATCAGCTACGACCGCTTCCTGTCAGTCACCAGAGCAGTGAGTGGAACATCCTGAGCCTCGCATCAGTGATGCACACAACTATCAAAGTGAATTTAGGATTGTGATACAGTACACTAGCAAGCTTTATGTGTGAAAGGGTTAGGGTAATCTGAAATGTTTAAAATGTCTCAGGCGAATGAAACCAGAGGTAAACCAGAGTATGATTGGAGTTGGCTCATTAACATTTTCCTGTTTCAGTTTCCACTCAGACAGAAATATTAGTTTCTGTATTATAATGTTAAAAGTTGAAGAGCCCTTTTCCTTTTAGCTGTACAAGTGTACACTGCTTGCGGTCTTGGCTTAATTTCTGACTGGTGAGTCTCCTAGGTCATTGGTAGGGGCAGTGCCACCTCATTCTCCCAAATGTGCCCATCTGCAGAGGTTAATCATTCCTGACCCATTCAGGCCCAGTGCCACCCCTAATTATAGCCCTTCCCCATGACGAAGATAAAAAAAAGTCACATTTTGACTTTGGGACAGACTGGGCTTCAGGAAATACGCAGAAAACAACACATCATTGTCAAAAATTCAATATTAGAGGTCTAAACTTAAATACTTTTGATTTCCACTTCAACAGTTTAAAATAATGAATCTATGTCCATGAAACTATGTCCCACTGCTTTATTTTTCTGAAATACAATTGTACGGCATCAGTAAGGTCGATTTTCTATTTTCTGCCTGCCTTGGCACGTATCTAGTAGTTAGCATACATTTCCAAACCTCTGTAGCTGTTAGGCCCATTGAACCTTTTGTTGGGGCTTGTCTGTGCATTATCCGACTGACTGTATCCAATACACGTGTGTGTTAACTCAAAGGTGGGATGAGCCTTGGCATAGTAGACAAAGAGAGTGTTCTGTTTCCTTTCACAAGCAAACACTTAACATCAGAGCAATGAATACAAATAACACCAGAGAGAGAGAGAGAGAGCCTCTTCTTTAATTAGCTAGCTTTGATCATAGAGATCCTCCTCTGTGCCATGGTCCTTCCAACCTGAAGAGATCAATCATAGCAGAAACAGGCCACCGGCAGCCAAGCAGCATTTTCCTAAAAGCATTTCTCTCTGAACATTAAAAGACAAAGGATCGTCAACAGCCACAGGACAAAGTTTGTCTTTCAAAAGAAAAGATGGAGTCAGATTAGATGCATACATTTGACAGTTAGATGAAATGTCAGTATGTTAACAAAATGCTAACTGCATGGCGTTAGAGAGAAAACATCCTGTTTTAAGTATTGCTTATGATTATAAGAGTGAGCTAAGAGTAATCCTAGAGCCTCTCAAGAGGAATCTAACGGTATAAAAAGATAATGCAAAATTTCTGATTGGATTTATGAGCACACCGGATTCTTCTCCGTTGAGTGCTCCATCACTACATGAATAAGGAGCAAGAAGTGCTGTATGCCAATTAATTTATTCAAGCATCTTCTTTGAAGAAGAGCTGCGATTCATTTTTTGCCATTTAGAACAGGGGCACATCTTCAGGGCAGCTCGAGAGGCCATAAAGTGTGCTGCCCGCTAAAAAAATGTGGACAGGCAGGTAGGATATGATACTAGTATGAGTGGTAATGGGAGGTGCACTTTAACCCTTGAGCCATGTTTACACCCAAAGTATCCAGAACTTTTACTCCCGGGAACTACTTTTCAAGGAAATGTTAAGCTCCCTCTGCCCATTGTTGTCTGTGATTCTACTACAAATTAAGCAAATTAGTCAACTGATGTCTAAAAATATTTTTTTTGCGCGGCTATACAACAACATACATCCTTGGTCCATCTGTCATATGCTTTCTTTCAGTGAACAAAAAACAAACTGGTTTGCGGCTGCAGATTTGTAGAAATGGCAGCTGAAATAAAATGCTGCGACCAATCAGAAATGTTCAGCGCTGCAGGCGTGGGCCCTTACTTTACTTTACTTTACTTTTGGAAAGTACTGCCGGAGTAAAAAGTATGGACTTTAAGGGATTAAGGAGAGTAAGGACTTTAAGGGAGCTCAAATAATGACCCTGGAACTTAATTTAGACCCTGCTGTGTGGTGTTCCTTCTAAACGTCATAGTCTCTGGGAAACGTTCCTGCAGTGGAAACACAGCACACACTTTACTGCAGTGCATGAAGACAAGATGTTGGGAACAATACTTACCACAGTATTTTCTGTTTGTCCATCAAAATGTTCTGTGATTCAAAATATACATACTATATATCACAGTGTTATTGGCTTTATACTTGATTATATTGTAAAATTCTCAGTTGTGGGCTCATCAGTGGGTTAAAGGGTTTCACTGGATGTTTTTGTAGACATGGTAGTTTAAAGTAATAGCTTCTGGTTGAAGGGTCCCCTCTATATTGATTGTACCATTGTGCTGTAATTAGTTCAAGGGGATCAGTGTTGTATTAAAAAGTGCTGGATTATACCTCTTCCGCCATTGCAATTAAATGAACATTGACTACCATTTTATTGCTAAAGACGTTGTGCTTTAGGAGAATAAATTGCTATTTTGCCCTCTAACTGTTTCTACAATAACGGTAGGTTGCAGAAATTGCACATGCAATTGAGCAGCAGTATTACTCAAAGTATATTTTCTGATTTATTCTTGTATTTACTACAGATAAGTTACCGTGCCAGACAGAGCATGACTCATCAAGCCATAATCAAGATGATTGCTGTCTGGGTGCTAGCCTTTGTCCTGTACGGCCCAGCTATCATATTCTGGGAGCTGGCGGTGGGCAGAAGCCGCGTGCCAAAGGATGAGTGCTTTGCGGAGTTCTATTACTCTTGGTACTTCCTGCTGAGTGCCTCCATGCTGGAGTTTTTCTCTCCTTTCATCTCGGTGGCTTTCTTCAACCTCAGCATTTACCTCAGCATACGCAGGAGGAGGCTCCACAGCAGGGAGGCCCAGCTCCACCTTCAGTTGAGCGAACCTGCATCTGCCCAGGGGGACGGTATCCCCCTATCCCACAACTGGGGGTTAGGGATGAAACTGGCTGTAAAAGGCTCTATCCACTCCCAGACCTCCTCTCCCAGTTTGGGTAAACTAGATCCCTCAACCAGCAGGGCTGCCCAGCCTAGCCGTCTGTCCAGGGATAAGAAAATTGCTAAGTCCCTGGCCATCATAGTGTGTGTGTTTGCCATCTGCTGGGCACCATACACCCTACTGATGATCATCCGTGCTGCCTGCAGAGGGCGGTGCATCCAGCATCACTGGTACGAGGTCACCTTCTGGCTCCTGTGGCTCAACTCTGCTATTAACCCATTCCTGTACCCACTTTGCCACAGTAGCTTCCGTAGGGCCTTTAGTAAGATTCTCTGCCCAAGGCGACATACTACTCCCTCATCATCTGTCCTCCGTGTTGGCCAGTGACAAGCGGATACCCTTGGATGGATGGGGATGAACAATGTGCCAAAACTATGAATGGAAGTATTCAAAATCTAACCCATACATTCCACAGTTTCAGCAGACGAAGCTCAACTGTGCACCAACTTGTCAAAGTAGTTTTCTGTTGTGCTTTTCAGTGTTTGGATGTATAAGGTTGGTACTGTACAGTATAATGTAATTAACTGTCAATCAGTTCACTGTGCTCACATCTAAAGTATGTATTAAACATTCACCATAGGCAGGAAAATAATGATCCTGTCTAAAAAATCTGAATATACCAACAAGTATTATAATAATTAATATAATAGAGTTTCATATACTATAAGAACTGGGCAGGGTTACGAGTGCTGTGTTTGTTGTTGTGTAGGATAGAAAAAAACATCAACAGAATAGAGTAAAACAGAACCATTTCTTCAGACCTGTTGATAAATACCATGGTGACAGTGTTATAATGAGAACTGTCAGCTGTGGCTCGTGTACTGTATGTATTTGTCAAAACAAGGTCAAGAAATGCATTTTGCCTGACTGCATTCTTTGGCATATCCATTGTCCACAGAAAATACATAACTATATACACATACATATTTGTCTTGAATGAGTGTCATACAGACTAGATTGCAATTCATCAGTTATGTTGTCTTGCAGCTTGTATATTGAATTTATACACATTATATCAAAGATTCATGTTCATAAAAAGTGTGCGCCCTCACTGTGACATCCTCACTTCAGCTGAAGAAAAGCAGATCACTATTATCCTCTGCTGTTAGAGAGTTTACTAGTGTTAATATTACAGAAGCACAGTGATAAAAACACAAAGTGCCATTAAATGTTTTTAAAATGAAATGTTATCGAAGCCTGAAATTTACTTTCTTTTTTTGGAGCACATTGTTATACAGTAGGTTTGTTAAGGCTTACAGGTCTCCACATAGTGAGTACATTTATTGCACATTCATTACCCCATGTTAAAAAATAGATGCCTTGTTTACTATACTGTAGGTACACAACACAACACAAAAGTAAACATCTTTATTTTTGACTGTGATTACATTATTAGTGATTATTGCTACTAAAACACTCCACAGTAGCGCCATTGGTTCTATTGTTACTATTTTTAATTTTTAATTTTTTTTTTTTACAGAAAGTATTTGGTTTCATGTAAGAGAGAGAGAAGTTAAATGTTTACAAACAATGCCAAAATACCATTTTACTGTGATCAGCAGGTGTATGTATACTTCTGTGCCACTAGATGTCACCATTAACCTTTGTAGCTTCCTGTGAGTGCAGCGCTGGAGCATAAAGCTTCAGTTCATAACAGTTCCAAGTCAGTCTTTGAGATTGGCCACGGTTTCCATGAACTGTTTTACTTTATTGTTTGTGTTTGAATTGTCATTTAAATACATGCTATATTTTTGCACCCGGATCCTGTGTGATTCAAAGTTTAATAGATGAATATAACCTAATAATCATAGGTATGTAAAATTGGATGGTGCTCTCTATACATTTACTTACAGTGAGTCCTTTCACTGTCACATGCTACTTGTAATTGCACAACTTGAAAAGTTACAGTGTGTCCAGCTTTAGCAAATGTTTTATATTGTCTTTAAGTGCTGTTATGCTTTATATTTTTTTGGTAACTGTTTGTGTAATTGTAAGTATTAGAGTAGTAGCTTAAATGGTATTCTCTTGACTCAATTTAAGTATGGTATAATAATTAAAAAAATAAATAATCTTTATTTGTGATTATTTTAACCAAATAAAGTTTAGTTTTAGAATTTTTAAAATTAATCACATCTCTGTTACTGGCTAAGGATCTTTATGCACAATATTAAATAAAGTGATTAAGCTATATGATGCATTTTAAATGGCAACATTGTGCCCTGTAGTTGCTGTCTACTTGATGGCTAATTGGGTCAGTGCCAACTGCAGAGTAGCTTTTGTTTGATGTGCAGATGAAATGCTGAGAGTGCAATACCATTTTTGTATTGTTCCCCAGTCCAGGAAGGTTTGATTTGATAGATTAAATGAGTTCTTTCCAGATGTAGACTTATCAGACCTGTAATTACGCCATCATGTTAGATAGTGGGGTTACATTTGCAGGTGCCTGGGTCCCACAGGGGACTTACATTGCTCAAATTGTTGCTGTTGCCCATGTGCACATCTGGGCCCCTGGTCAGGTGCTGGGAATAAGGGCACAGCTGCAGGGAACAGGCCTGAGCTCCCCCCTCACCCCCTCTCCGCCCGTGGCGTGGTGGGGGGTGGGGGTGTGTGGGGGGGGCGAAGCACACTTCTGACCAGAGGGATGCAGGCACATTTCCCTTGGGGTGACAGAACTGCATTTATCAGCAGAATGCCGAGCCTGGGTTTACTCCGTGTATCTAAATGCGACAGCAAAAGCCGTATCACTGTGAAGAACGCTTGTGCTGTGTGCAGTTACATTAGGGGGACTACTGCTATTGATTTTGTTGATAGATTGAAATGTCATGGCATGTGTGCCAAACTGATTGGCTAACAGACTGAGGCTGTGTTGAGGATCATGCCAGCTTAAATTGATCTAGGAGGGGTAGCGCCATGAAAAACACACATCAGAGATTTTAATTACGTGTGCATGCAAAGGTGTGTGTATCCTTTTAATCCTATTCATTGTGTATATAAGTGAATGTGTTTATGGGGAGTTTGGATGTCTGTGACCCTAAGCAATGTATCTAAAAGCTGTGACCCCAAATGAAGTGCACCTGTGCCCCTTAAGTTTATAGAGCCCATTAGCAGAGACCCAGTCAGTGATCAGAGGGGGAAAGAGGGCCTATATAACTTCCCCATGAGAATCTCTGAATAGTTAAACTCTTAGAGGTTCCCCTTTAGCACTTTGTTAGGATGACTTAATGCTGAAATTTCTTGTTTTCAAATTGGATAACGCCTCTGATCTACACAATAGGTAAATAAAAGGTGACAGATGTGGAGTGAAGCCAATATAATGTAATGTCTGGAATAAGGAAAAACTGAGAAAACATTGGCATTTTCAAAAACAAGTAGTCTTTATAACAAGGCGATGACAACTATGCTACACTAGTGCTTTTAAGTTCAGCTGGAATATAAAAGTGAACCAATAGACAAGACCAAACCACTTTAGTCTGCACATACAGGTCAAAACTGTGACCTCTTTTGAAGTTGCAGCATCACTTAGTGTACATTTTCACCCCACGTGGGCTGTTCACTTTCTCAGCTAACTAAATGTAAACCATAGTTAATATTTCATGAGGGGCATACTCAAAAAGAAAAACAGACTATTTCTGCTTGATTTTTGCCTTTTCCGCTCTTCCGTTTTTCCCTCTGCCTTTTCCTGCAGTGTACTTCCTGACTAGAGATTAAATAATTCCATTGGAATCCTCTTAGGATGGGTTCCCAGCACTTGGCAATTAAACAATTACATTTAATCAGCATGGGGCGACGCTTCAAGTCACCCTCATTTCAGACGTTGATTAAAAGCAATTCTGCAGTGGTTATTGCTGTCGACTTTCAAAACTGTGGTTCACTTAGGTTTACTGCATCTGTGGGGTCAGGTTGGATAGCAATATGGCAGGTTCAGTGGTGGTCGAGGGCTGTATCTGCCTGTGGTGGGTAAAACAGTAATGACAGAAATCATGGCAGACCTTATATTGTCCCTTAAGTCAGAGCTAGTTAGATTACTTGGAGACATTTTGACCCTGCAGCAAAGAAGACTCAACGAACAATAGAAAGGAGAGGGACATTAAGTTATGCGTGTGGGAGCCCAGATCCTGTGTGAGTGTGTGTGCACATTTTTTTACATCACATATGTGTATTTGACTGTGTTCATACACAGCTGTTTCTTCTTGCATCTACATTGAAGCGCATTTGGCTTGAATGAAATGCACCTTGACATATACAATTTCATCATGCCATGCAATAACATCTCCCCCTGTGATGGCAAACAAGCTGAGAGAGGGCACACGGGGAGGAGGGCTTTTGTGAGCCGTATTTGACATTACACTCGAGTGAAAGAGTGCTACGTGGCACTGGAGCGGACTTCAGTCATCCCTGTGCAACACAGATGAGTTGCGATGGATACCCGGCCCCCTCTTGTGAAACCCAGGTGCCCCTGTTTCATAAGGCACCCCACTGGCTCCCCAGCCCTCTTAATTAGCGACTTCCGTCAGCTGGCACCCAGGCCTTCAAGCACCAGTCACTGGCCTCTGCTGCTGAAGGAATCCAGTTCACTCCAGATCTTCAGCTTTTCTAACAGATGGATGTACATGGGCGGGCTGAGTAAGAGGCATCAAGGTTTCTTGCAAACCTGTAAATCAACTGTGAATTTCCTGGTATCTAGATCAGATGCATGCTGGAAAGAGAAGAAAATGCTGTTGAATGCTTTCGTCTGTGTGTTTCTCGGTTTTAATAAAGATGGGCAACTGCAGTGAATGGGCCATGAGCTTTAGTCTCAGCTGCAGAAATACTGTAACAAGACATTGAGGATTTTTATATGATGAAGTCAAATATAGATAAAAGGTTTCACCAGGACGGGAATGTTGCCTTTTTCCTGGTGCAGTATCATAGCAGCGCTGTAACAATAGTCTCTTCTAATGACATTCCCCTAGTAACTTCTTGCCTCTATGAATCTCAGGGGGGAAGCGCTACAAAAAGTGATAATTACATGAAATATACATAGAGAATAAAGGGAGCATGTTTACATAACCAGGCCCATAAATATCTGACGGAGAAGACATTGTTCTCCGACTCCTTTTAAGCTGATCTCCCAGGGATGCCATTTTAATGACATGATGGTTTAAAGAGATGCTGCTCCATCTCGTTCCATATTTAATTAACTTTTGCTTTTCTGACGCAGAGGAAAAACAGAATAAAGAACGCGTGATAGAGACAAACACACACGATAGCGAGGAGACAATAACAAATAGCTGGGAGAACAGAGAGGGAGGCAGGGGGAACATGAGCAGAGACCTTGTCATGCTTTT